GTAGCCGACCAGGAAGGACTTGACCTGGGATTTAGGGTTCAGGGTTTAGGGTTTAGGGTGCAGTGGTAGCCGAGCAGGAAGGACTTGACCTGGGATTCACTCCAGCCTGCATTCTCTGCCTAGAACGAATGCAGAGACTTTGGAGAATCGGATTACGAAGGGACAGGCATCGAAGACAGACTGACAGCTGTTGGTATCGCCGGGTCACCGTGACCCCAGTCACCTGTCGCAAGGCGGGCAGCTCGTCTACGGGGAGGTGGAACGCCATGTCGACCTGTCCTTGCGCCAAGGCCTCGGCCACGGCCGAGCCCGTGGAGAATCGCTGGATCTTCAGCAGCGGCCTCTCCTGGGTTGTGGCTTCGGGGCCCTTGAAAGCAGTTGTGAATAGGGGGGTACCTCCATAGGAACCATAAAAGGGAAACTAAAAAGTGCCCCAAATTTCCAGCTAGTCTCCAAGGCCCGGGCATAATGACCGTTCGGCACCAGGTCGATGTGGTCACCACTGACGAAAGTCTCAACTTTGTAGGGTCCCGTGAAGTACCTCTGGCCCCCCTTGTTCAGATACACCACGAAAGGCCACTCCGCCAGCACGGCGTCCATGACGGGCGTGGCGCGCTCAGAGACGATCCTCACGGTGGAGGTATCCGGCGCCGTCACCGTCATGGTGCCCAACGAGGCCTGGGCTCCGGAGTTCTGCTGGTTCAGCTCCGTCAACGCATCTGCGACATGCTGCGCCGTGACATCGGTGCCGTCTGAGAACTTGTAGCCGGGGGTGAGAGTGACATCCCAGGTGAAGGTGTCCACTTTGGAAACAGACTGACCCACCTGGGGCACAATGTTGCCCGTCTCGTCCACGGTGAAGAGCTTCTCTGAAATGCCATGGCTCGTCAGCGCCCACGCCGTGCTTCCGGCTGTCGGGTCCGTGGATCCCGCCATGAAGGTCTTGCCGACAACCAGCGGATCATGCAGTTGGCCCAGGGCCGAGTATGACAGCAGGCTCAACAGAAGAAGAGCCATCCTTCGTTAATCCAAAAATCCCCGGCCGAGCACTAATTCCAAATGGCTGCGTCGCAGGTCAGGATCAACAGCTCCTGTTGAGTTTTCATGCTGTAAAGAGGTGCACGTGCCAAAACCGAAGACGGGCTGAGACTGCTCGAAGCACCTGATCAGCAGCTGCTGCCTGCTCTAAGAATGGCCTCACCTGCACCCTCGCAAAATGCAGAACGACTTTGTCACTTGTGCATAGAAATCCAGATCCGCCCATGCGGTCTAGTATGGTCTAATGGACACGAGCTCGAGCTCAGACCCCCCACTAGCATGTGTCCGCTGGCCTTCCGCTGGGTCGGCCGAGACTGACAGGAGGATGGCAACCACGGCACGGCAGCGCTCGGCGCTGTGTCGCTGAGAGGCGCCCTCCTCGACAAGGCACCGGACGACTGCATGGGACAGGGAGCAGGGAGTAGCCGAGTGCCTTGGAGAGGTCGAGTCTCAGCCTCGGAGTCAAGTCGTCGCCGAAAGATGTCCTTTCTTTTTTTGACTGCGCAGTCGAGGACGCGGCTGTCCAATCATCTCTAAGGCCCGCCGGCATTCGCCCTCAAGGTTCAAGAGCTCGTTCCTCGCCTCACCTCGGCTCTTGCCGCGCGGCCAATGCTGCTGACAGCTCCTTCAGGCAGAATCAAGCTACTGCACGGGTTCCGGTAAATTAGTTAGTTGAATTAAAGTCGAGAGGCTTATGCACACCCGCTGCTCTTCCAAAGAATTCTGCGCAGCATCGCCGGCCATCTCCTTCAGAACTATGCATGCATTACAACTGCGACTGGTGACCATGCTTCCCACAGCAGCACTTCCTCGGAAGGAGCATCTGACCGCAAGTAAAGACGCTGCTGGCAGACCTGTCCAGCAGGGTCAAACCATCGAGGGCCACATTGGAGGAGCCATACTATGCTGTAAACTCACACGCTTGAGCTCATCTAGTAGGTGGTGCATGCTCAGACAGTGGGAGATCCTTGAAACTGGCCTTCAGGTCTGCAAATTGAGCATATCCTTCGCCACAAAACAAGAAATCGTGAGAAGTTTGACAACCTAGCACGAAAGCAGGCTTCGAGAGTGGAGCCAAGTGCATCCAAGATTCTAGCATGTTGAAGGCGTCGCAGACACTGGCCGATCTGCCGAAGCATGTCATCAACTTGTACGTTGCACTTCTCGCACATCTTGACCACCTCCATGCCTGTGCATCGTTTCTCTTGAAGGCACTGTTTCTTGGCGAGTGGTCAGGCTCTCAGCTGTAACCGATTCTCCTTTTCGTGGAGACAGCATGCACATGACAAGTTTGGCTTGGACAAGGGTGCAAGTCAGTGATTCTGTGCGGCGTGTCAATCTGTGTGATCAGCAACTGACACAGGGCACAGCAGGGTTGAATTTCACCAAGCTTTATTCCTTTATTATTTGCCGCGAACCCACACGTCACAGCAGCCATGGCATGTCTCAATTCAGTCCTGCCCCCTTCTGGCATCAACTGAACCGACCAGATCCCAGAGCCCAAACACAAGATGCCCGAACAGGTCCAGAATAGAGGCCGCACAACATCGGCTTCGAGTTCTCAACGAGGCACAAGTGTCAGCTCTGACTTTCAGCGCAGCTGCTTGCTCCTGCCCAGAACCACACAAAACGAAGACACCCCAAAGCAGCACTCCATAACTTTGACGGAGAAATCTGTATTACTCTGAATCTCTTCAAGTCTCGCCTCGCGTTCCGACGCCTCGGCTGCGCGGCCTTTTTCAGCATCGGCGACGATGGCTTTCTCGGCATCACTGATGCCCTGTAGCACGTGACGCCTTGCCGGACAGGGGAGAAGCTCAAGAGTCCCAAGTCGGGATAAGATACTTCTGTGTCAACGCGCTACAGGATTTCTGCCAGGGCGCGAGAGGGACTTTGCCTTTCGCAGGGCATGATGGTGCGCGACCGCGTAGGTTGAAGCTGCCACCATTTGCTGTCGCCAGCAAGGAGAACATCACAGCTGATTAGCAGGGATTTGTTTTTCGATTGCTACGATAGTGAGTCCAGTTGTGCAATTTCTGTCATCACTGTCACATACGTCTTCCACCGGTACACATTGGTGTGTTGTCGGTTCTAGGTTTTCTTGCTGAGTCAACTCCTACTGTCCGGATATCATAGTCTTTGGGGCCATCGCAAGAGCCCAGCAGTAGCAAATATGTAGAGAAAGTCCCAGCAGAGTACACTGCCTTGCTTCTGCGCTGCAACGATCAACGACCAAAGCAACAAGCCATTGAATTTGCTCCGATTTTGTGCACAGCTCTCCAAGCACTTGCCTTCAGGCCCCGAATATAAAGCTCTCAAAGCCTCGAGAGTGTAAGTCTGGTTTAACTTGCACAACGCAGAGGTTGACCCGCTCCTCCTCTCACCTCACTCAGACTCACTCATGGAAGAATGACGACTTTAGCATACCGCTGCATGTTACCATCCGGTAGGTGGATGGAAATCTCGATGCCTATGCAGAACACAACAATGCTGTCCAATCTGACCTCAGAAACCGCGAGGAGGCCGCACGCCAGCGCCTGGAAGATTCAAGCAAGCATCCGGGCAAAGACGGAAACCCCGCGTTGTCCTTCTGGCCTTTGGAAATGCCGGACGAGCCACCATCGCCAGCGAAAGAAGGAGCTGAGGGGGAAGGCGGGGGGGCAAGAACTGCCACTACTGCAGCTTGAAGCGCTAAACAGCAACCACATCGGGCCAGGACCTCCTTCGCCGGAGTTTCGCTGGGTCCGCAATGTTCGCACTGCCGAGAAAATGACTCAGGCACAAGATGCTCCTGCATGCTTTCACAGATTGCGGTCGTGAGCGGCAGAGTCAGTAGTTTGCAATGTTGCTTTTGGCCACTTTGAATGCACTTTACTACAGCACGGCACCCAGAGCGAGGGTATATGCCGTCTGGTTCTGTGTGTGAATTTTGCATCAACCATCACGGTGTCATGCAGGCAGTCATCGTTCTTGGTAGCCCATCAAATTTCAAACTCGCGGGCTACGACATGCGAATGTATGCAAATCTATACAGTTCAACCTTGCATGGCTGTAAAGTGCCAAAAAGTTGCAGGAGTGGAGGACCGATGTGAGTGGCCAGCTGATGCTCTAAATGTTCGGCTTCTCTGCAAGGTCTGTATCAGGCTTGGGTGGGGAGACAGATTCTGTGGCTCCAGCTAGGTCTTCCACAACTGCAGCCAAACTAGCTTCTGTCAGAGCAAGGTTTCGGTGACAGGGCCACTGTTCCGCCTGAAGGGTGTCCTCCCATGGTTGGTCGGTCAACTCCGATTTGCAGCCTGCGATTTGCAAGGTGTCCAGAGAGTGCTGCGAGAGGCGTTGCCACATCACAGGCTGTCCAGGTCGCGATATGAGATGACAACGCTGACCTTCAGACGAATTCCAGAGTCCATGGGAACCCATCCCTCAAAGCCATGGGGGTCAAAAGCTTGGCTCTGCAACTTTAAACGCCCGAGAGCTTTGTCTGCTCCCCAGGGCCAGACTGCATCCCAGAGCTTCACCTCAAGCTCGTCTCCAGGCTCGTACTCCTCCAGCAGCATGGTCTCACCCCAAGTCGGTGATGCCGTGTTCTTCTTCGTGGAGGTGCGAGGAGTCACAGCCCACTTCCGGTTTACGGCCTCGACAGTGGCATAGCAACTGGGCTTCCCTCCCAGCAAAGGCCGTGCCGAGCGTTCGGGAAGGCCCTGCGCATAGGCCACCTTCACATTCACGAAACGAGTAGCCATGATGATGCGGCGGATGTACTCTGCAGGAAGGTGAATCATGATGTCAGGGACGAACGACACCGTGGTGGGCTCGAACATGGATTCTGATGTTCCTGCGGCCCACCTCTGTGGCCTGTCTGACATCTTCACCACCGCTTCTTTTGTGTGAGCTAATCTGAATGCATAAGTGAGCCACGGCACGGGGTCAAAAGACATGTAGTCCTGATTGTAGAAACGGTACCCAGGAAACACTCCATCTGGAGCTAGATAATTCCAGAATTGCGTTTGCGAGACTCCAGGACCTCGGATAGCTGATGAACCTCTTCCGGCTTCCAGCTACTTCTGGTACTCCCGACGCTTTACTTCATTCCGAGCGCTTCGAGGAACAAACACTAGGGCCGGGACCACCGTAGCCGTGCAGATCCGTCACGTTGACGCGAGTCGAAACCGTGCGCCCTTTATGGACCAGCTTTCCCCAGCGCCAGAGATCCGGCAGGGTGAGGTTCTTGCCCGCTCCGTTCATGCAAGCAGCGAACACCGCCTCAGACACGGCTACAAGGTCAGCCCGAAGCTCGACTCTGACTAAAGGTTTGGGGGACGTGGGGGTGACTGCCGCCGAGCCACTGCCACGGCTGCGCCTTGGGAATGGCCTGTGGCATGAACTTCCGTGCAGTTTTCTGCCAGGTACGGTTCGAATTTCTCACTCCATGCGTCGTTGAGCATGAACTGCAAGAAATTCTCGAAAAATCCCTCATGCACTCCATAGATTCCACACTGTGGCAGACTCGAAGTTCGCAGATTGAAGTTCGTGGACCAATCTGCCAGTCCGTGTGTCCCTGAGAAAGTCACAGCACAGACGCTGCCCTTGGCCATCAGAACGACCACGTCGTGACCATCAACCATAAGGGACTGTGTGGTGTTGACGTACTCAGCCACAACCTTCCATCCGCCGGCCCAACCTTCTGGGTATGCTCCTTTGAAATACTCGATGTCATATGCCCAAGAAGCTACACCACCCATCACGAGCTGCATAGGCGAAGAGTTCGTGATGATGTTCAGATACGGCCGGGCTGGGATGTACGCGAGCTCAGTAGCAATTTGCTTGGATGCCATGTCAATGTACTCAGCGATGAAATGTATGCTTGGCATCGGGATGGGATCCTGGTCGGGGTCCGGCTCTCGCTCTCTCGTGGCAGGACCCCTCAAGGCTTTGCCTGTCAGTGTCTGCTTCGACTCCGCTGCAACGGCAAAACCCACCCCGTTTGCATGAGCTGAATCATCGGTGTTGTGCGTGTCCGCTCCACTCCCGGATGCAGTCACTCCGAAGCAGGCCAGAAAGAGCACCGCAGAACGAAGCACCCATGCCATGGCAACAGACGGGTCGCTTCGCCCAGTTCAAGCGTTTCAGCCAAGCTGCAACTGAGCGGAGCAATGGACAAGGGTCAGCTGTTGTGCTGCATTGCCTGTGGGCGAACCTCCTCTTCTGTTGCAGAGCTCCAAAGCCGCGTGGGAAGACTTTTTCGACAACTACGACGAGCACTTGCTGGGGCACCCTGTACGGGCTCAAGTTCAAGAGATTAAATGGCGGCAAAATGTAAGCGGAACGGGGTGGCGTCAGCGCATGAACTCTTCGAGACCCAGCTGCCTGCCGAAGCCTTTCACGACCTTGGAACTCGAAACTAATTCTGCGGTTTCACCTCGCGTCAGCAGCCTGCGATTGAACTTCTAAGGCACGAACCGGCCAGTAGTACCGGCAAAGGACCCAAGACCTTGTGAAACACCGGTGCTCCACCCAGCAGGGCTGAGGAGTTGCTGTATTTTGCGCCCAGCTGAGGCCAGCACGCAGCCAGGGAGCAAACGGCAACCCTTACACCTAAGTCCAATCGTTAAAAAAAACCCAGGTCACTCCAAGCCGGGAGTCCTCCGACTACCGAGCCGCAGCAACTCTTCACACAAAGTCCAGCGAGCACAGATGCTTGAAACAACAACATCCTGTCAGTCAAATTAAAACCCTTGACTCTGGTCCCGGTCATGTCCACGTGCTTCCCCTACCAGTGCTTTACTGGATCTTGTCCCATGCTGAGGGAGGCGCAGTGGTCCAGGAACAGAACCAGTTCACGCAAGGTCTCCCTCAACATCACAAGGCTACACTCACGGTGACAGTCTCTGCCATGCTGCATCCGGGCTATAGACAACAATCCACACATTTCATGCAGTTTTTGCAGCCAGTTGGTCGACAGCACATGCCAAATGTGGCCTTTTCTTCTGGTTCATCTTGATACACTCCTCGTACCTGCCGGGACATGAACTCATGCAAGCCGCTTCTCGAATTCATTTAGGGCTCGTCGAGACAGACTCAAAGATTTCTGAACCAGGAGCCGGTTACAAGGTATTCACAGTCGGTGCAACTTGCGCATGCAGTTCTCTGCGACTCGAGCGCAAGGGGGAGCACTGCTCGAGAAGATTCTCCGCAGCATCTTTCCAGGTCATCCGAACTGGGCGTCCAGTGGGCAGCTGTTACCAGCAAGGTGGCGAGTGGCTAGGGAAGACCCTAGCGGCAATCGGCTGTCAAGCACATGATCGCCCAGCACACGCCTGGATGTTCCTGAAGATACTTTCCTTGGTCCATCAGCTCTCGCGTGCAAGGAAAAGCAAAAGCTGCGGTCGCAGCCAAGCTTCGGCCACTAGATTGCGCACGTGCCATAGCTGCGGCAAATTCCTCGGTGGATTCGATGTTGTAGTGCCACTCCTGCAAGACATGTAGCCCCGCGCTTGAAGGTGACAGCTTCGCACTAGCTCTTGGGGCCTTGGGCGTCAGCGGCTTGTCCTTGTCCAACCAGATCTCATCGAAGACTGAACAAAATGGCATCACGGCAGGACATCCGCACATCATCGCCTGCAGAATGACTTCGCAAGGTTCACAAGCAGACACTTCGTCCACACAGCAGTCGGAGCCTCCAGGCACGTCAGGCCGAAGGTCTCTGAGAGGCTCATCGTCACGAAGCAGTCCGCAGATCTGTACAACTGCGGAAGCTCCTCGCGGCCAAGCAGTACGGCGTCTGCTTCAAATCTGCACCCGCCCAAGATGCCCCCCCCCCTCCGCCCCCCGCTCTGGCAATCCTGGTGCGGTACATTTCCAAGGAAGACCTCACCAGGCTCGGAACATGGCTTGCTTCAGTCACTTGATTCTGGTGGGGCTGCGTCAAAAGCATTTAAAATTGACAACGGTATCAGACAAGGAGAACGTGAGCTTCAAGCTACATGTTGCGATGTGCTGCCTTTGAACATCGTAAATCCTCGTAATTTGGTCCGATGTTCGAGGGCTGGGCCACACGCAGGCGCAGCCTGGTGGCCTCCTGCACCAAGAAGTCCTGGCATCAAATGCTGCTCTGCATCCCCTACGTCGCTTAGTTTCCGCGCTCGGCATGACTTCACACATGTCCCGACTGCCCTGCAATGTCCTTGGAAGGTCCATCGCCTGCTATTGCCAAGACGCCCTTGACACCTTGACCGCCCTCCTGGTGGAAAACTCTGCTCGGCTCCATGTGAAGCTCAGACGCAGCTCAGGTCCTCCTTGGGCACTAGGGCCTGAAAGACGCGCTCAGTGCCCTGAACGGGAGCATCACTGAACGTGGAACGTGCTCGCCATGGGCACAAGCCGCCCGTGCCTTTTCTGCAGAAAGGCGCTGCACCATGAGGAGGACCTTTCATCAGGGGGTAAGCTGCTATGCGTGGTCGGTCGGCCATGCCATGATGTGGGGGCTTCGGGCTCAGGCTATGCACAACACTGAAGTCTTGCTTTCGAACAATGAATGCTCTTCCTCAAGGGTGCTCTTGAGCGAAATTGGCCATGGCGGTCTGAACTTCAGGGCCAGGGCTTAGGATGATGCGATTTGGACAAAGCTCCTGGTCCTACAGTGGCAAGGCCGCCTTCTCCTCCTCGCTGTCGACACCAAACTTGGCCAATCGGACATCCCTTCGTTCCTCGGATTGTCGTTTCAGGAGATCTCATGAGTGTCGGACCGTCTGGCAGAGCGACCACGCGGAAGAGAGAAGAGTGACAGAGTGGCGCCCGTGGGTATGCACAAGCTGCAGCAAAATACAAGTCTGGTACAGCGCATAAATGACCCATAAACTATCTTGCTCTGGATCCTGCCTGAGCCTGAGAGACAGGGGGGTATGGGTGGGGTCCCAGGGTCCCAGAGCCCGAGTCCCTGCAGCCGTCTGTCCGTGCTCGAGGCGGGAGTTGGAGTGAAGGTGTTGTGCGTTCCTCGGCTTCGAAACAGCACCCATTGGCCACACACACCGCCCCTCCTGTGGGCCTAGCCGGATGGGACTCGCCTAAGTTTGGCCTCGTGCTCCTCTCAGGTACTGTTGACAGCGAAAACAACCTGTGCTGCACCGCACACGGCAATGTGAATTCGACTGCTGTCTGCATGGCAATCGCATGACATGGAAACTTTCTCCTTGCCGAGGTGGTCCCGCGCGAAACACAGAGTAGGTGCGGAGTTGAGCGTGCCCCACTTGATGGCCGGCCACAATCCAAGCATGTCATACCTGGGTCACATGTGTCAGCTGGCAAGAGCAGAGGAGGCATAAACGGTCAGCCCAGTGATTGAGGTAGACACATCCTCAAGCCAAACTCAGCCACAGGCCTCTCAGCAGAAGCCATGTTGTCCATGCGATTTCGTTTTCCCCTCGACCCTCCCGCTTCCGGATACCCACATTGGCACGCGAGGCAGCGAAATGCCTGATTGGCACCAGTTTGTAGGCAAACATGTTCATCTCCACGTGGTGCGAGCAGTAGACCTTGCAGTGTCCGGTGAGTCCTCAAGTCCAGCGACACCCCAAACTGAGATTTCTAGCTCTGAGCCTGTGGCGGGGATGCGCCGCCAAGCACACGTGGACAAGACAAAAGTACCAATCAGGGACGGGTAGACCAAGTGAACCTCACACCGCCAGATCTGCCTTCACGATTTCCAATTCTGAATCGATTTCTTGTCAAAGTCCAGGACTACATCCCAGGTGTGAGCACCCAGAAACCAAGCAAGTTTTACCTCACGGGTCACAGCGCTTCTATTCGAGTCTCTCTTGCAGCCATGCTGTGCTGTGAGCTCCTGGCTCCTGGGGTGTACCCTATCCTGTTCTTCATGTTGAAAGGGTTGACGACCTGGCGTCCGGTTCCACTGCTTCCTGCAAACATGTTTCCTCTGCATCGGAGCAGAGTGCTTGGGATGAAAAATTGGCCGGAGCACCGCCGGGATGTTGGGATGGTCAAACGACGTTTCCTTGTTGGCCTCGTAGGCCGTGCTGAAGACGATCACCTGAAGCCGCTCGAAGCCGCAGCGAACTGGGATTATCTCTCCGGAATTCGGACCTCGTGACCCTTTGCCCGCATCTCTTTGATGTAGGCATGGCAGCGGATGGCGATGCCTTGAAGAGTGCAAGGAACTGCCATAAACTGCCGCCAGCTTTGCAAGGATTATTGTGGGGCCGTTGCCGTGTGTCTGGGGTGGAAGGTAGTCCGTGATCACCAGGATTCTGCGGTTGGCCACCGGGCGGCCTCCATGGCGCGACCCACGGAGCACGGACCCCCTACAGACACCGAAAGCCCCTTAAAGTTCTCCCCCATCCACCCTTTCCCTGCCTGTTGCCACGCCGGTGAGGCGCGCGATGAGCCGAAGGAGCTGGGCCTGCAGACAGAGCTGACTGCTCCTCTTCGGGCGGCGCTCTGGCACTGAGTACTCGGCCAGAAAGAAGACCGCGTAACTCAGGCAGAGGCGCGGAAAGTACACCACCTCCCAGAGCACTGGTCAGGCGTCTGGAGCTGTGCTCAGACTTGTATATCTTGGCATCTGCAGCTGCCCCGCCAAGGTGAAGAAGAGCAGGACCAGGTAATGTGTCCGCACAGCAGCGATCCAACACCTGGTGTTGCGATGAAAGCTCACCAGACTTCAAGTGCGAAGTTTTTATATGAGAGCCAAGCATTCATTGGCCCCAAAGCCAACATCCAGGAGGACCATGGAAAGGAAAGAAGGGGCAATCTCCGTTAAAAGATCATGTAAAGTGATGTAGTTAGTGGAACAGGTGGCCCACGCATGCCCACGCCCACGCACGGATTTTGAGTAACCGTCGTAACTGAACCGTTGCCCATCTGCCACTTCGGCTCCGACGAAGTCATCTCCGAGCATTGACTCTGTTCAGGGTGTGATAATTGGATTTAACTGCGTCGCCGCGGGCTTCGCTGAGTGCCATGCTCAACACAACACATCCGGGTTTACTGAAAACCGACATGAGCTTGGCAGCACTGTAACGTCTCGTGCTGCAGGGAGCCGAGGTCCGGGCGACAGCTGCCGACCGAGCCCATTTTCGCTCGCCATAATGGAAACGCTAAGTTGCCCGTTCCAAGTGAACGAAGCAATGGTCGCAAGAGTATTGCAAGAGTCGAAAGTCGCTGAAGGCAGCTCTCCAGCAGCAACTTGGCGGCAGTTCTGGATGCTGTTTGGATATGGAAACCATTGTCATGGCTACGGCTCAAGATGCTCCACCCTTGAACACGGAAGGACAAAGCAAGCGTAGGATCTTAGAGACCACATGCTGCGGCGGCAAATCAGCTGAGTCCCTTCACTCTTTACCCGCAAGCGAAGCAATCCTTCCGTCGCAGCTCGAGCCTAATTAAACTCCGGCAGCCGCGGTAAGGGAATGGACTTCCTCCTCCTGGGCCGAAGTCGAACAGATTCGGCAGGCAGGTCCGAAGGTCTGTTATGGTCTGGAAAGTGTTGAGAATGCAAAGCCTTTACGGTTACGATCCAGAAGTTTACCCCGTTATACATCATGGCATGTCTTTTTCAGCCATTCGATCTTGTTCTGTTTGTGTATACGTGCACGCTAGACTCGACAGCCCACTTCGACTGTAGCCAGTCATCGTATGTCATCTGCAGCACAAGCACAGCGATTGACATGAGCTCATGTCACAGCGCAAGTGCTTGGCTCTCCTTCCCAGCTTTCGGCGGCGAGGTACCAGCATCACTTCCGGGCGGGGCTCACCTCAGCTCGCAAGTGGTGAGAAGCGAGAGGTTGATCTTAGAATCTTCACGCGCTGGGAACCAGGCGGTTCAGTAGCTCCTCAAGGCTGCCGCCCTCGGCGAGGATCTCCAGTGCATGTTCGAACTCCTCCTGGACCACAAGTCTCCGCGGCCAATATGCGGTCTGGGAGCAGAGTCTGCAGCGTAACGTACATAACATTTGCAGAAAGCACCTTAAGCTGCGCGAGACGCTCTCTCAGCATCACAATGTTCAGGTCGCGGAACTCGATCGGGTCCTGGACCAATGCAGAATTGATTTCTTCATTGTCCCAGGCTCCACAATCGCTTCTGCAGAATCTGCCATCTAAGTTCCTACAGGTTCGTGAAGTACTGAGAATGCAACACCTGTGCTGTGTGCTGGCTGCTTCATTTGCAAGCACAGCAGCCCAGTGAACTCAGAGAGCTTCCAGGATGTGAACATGCGCACAGCTGAGCCTCCACGTGTATGCACGGCTCCGGTTGAGCCTTGCCGAAGAGAAGGAACCTCTGTGAAGGCGGACCGGGATGCCGAGCAGGAACTAAGAACCGAAGAGCAATGCAGCCAGCACGACAACTACTTACGCTACTTACGAATGCAAGGGAGGAATCCGAGCAGTGCTGGGCTTCCTGCCATGGACCTCTGTCCTTGCGGTCGGGCTTCTGCACAGAAACCACCTGCGGAGAACAAGACGATGCCCGGTCCATGCCTCATAAACCCATGCACCCACAAAACAGCACTGTAATCACTGTAATGACAAGGAAAGGCACAGCGGCATGCGAAAGAAGCACCACAAAACGCACCCGTGACAGCTTGCATTCGCCTCAGAGCCCCACTTGTACCTGCCAGCTTTCTTGAAATGAGCTTCCAAATCCACCTGCTATGCTCATTCCTTGATAGTCCGTCGCAGACTGTTTGGTTGCATACACCTGACGATGTGGCGGGACGACTTCTGGCGCACTCTTTGGAGTAGAAGTGTATGAACCCGTAAAAAAGCTCGGCCTCAGAGTAGTCACAGGACAGGCTGCAGAGGAATGTCTGCCAGATTATGGGCACCTTTGAGGTAAGCCCTCTGGCTCATGTTGGGGCTGCGCTGCCCACGACTGAGTAACACTCGGTCTTGCACTGTAAGCTTTGCCCAAGCTCAACTTTATCCTGCTCTCCTGAACTGGCCGTATTTGACTATACGAGCATAACGGACAATCTTGCGTACAGCACCCTGTCAGTGTCGCACCTGTGATTTGATGGTTATGGCCGTTAGCAAGTCTGCCACGAAACGGTTCAACGCTGATACGAAGAAGGCACGTGTTGCAGCCTGTGAATGCTCTTCATCGATGGTTTCAGATTTCTCGTATCTGCACGAGCTGAGATGTGGGCCAAAGAAAGGCCGGCCTCTTGGCAAAAGAATAACTTCTGCCGAAACGAGTGATAACCAGACACACTGCCTGCAACTACACACAGACGCTATGTTGGATGTCGAGGCAGAGAGCATTGCAAACTCCCTGCTGCCACTCTCGTGGCGTCTCTGTGCTGTGGAGATAACGCGCTTCCCGAATTGCAAATACCGTGTCTTGCCTCTCCAGCGGGTGCCGCTATCTTTCCATCTGCCACGTCTTTCTGGTATTCCTGCCAAGTGCTGTCAGGACGGGCCAGGGCTCTAGGCTCTAGACAAGTTCCGCCTTGGCGCCGAGAAAGCCAACCTGGAATGACCGCTCGTTGCTCCAGTAGTCCCTCGTCTTCAGCATCCTCACAGGCATCGCGCCCAGTGGATATGCGAGTTATGCGGAGAAGTGAACTCAAGTGCCTTTCGTCTTTGGAGAGCAGCTGGAGAGATGGGAGCAGCCCCACCAGTTGAAGGAAGTACAAGACCTTTGTCAGAAGCTGTGGAACGTGGACTGTAGGTCTGCAGCAGCTCCAAAACAACGATATGAATCGAGGCCGTGCGTCCTATGCAAACAGTTGCAAATAGCATGCCCATCATGCCCAATACTGGGGTGTCCTGCCATAATCGTCCAGGAGTACGAGGACAGGTTGCCCCCCTGTGCCCCGCATACTTTCTTGCCTTTAGCCCAGACCTGCAAGCTTTTCAAAATAGAGAAGACGAGTCAGGAGCTGCGCAAGACGCTGGCCTTGACCAAGAGGACCAGTGGTCGCACCCGCCTGTCACAGCTCGGCTGTCTAGCCGGATGCATCAAAAGCCACCGAACTTCCATCGCAAGCGAGAGGCGGATCCAGCTCGGAGTATGCCCGTAGCAGCTGTGAGTTGTAGAGCGGAAGGCCTGATGCAAAGAATCGGAAGAAAAAGTAGCAGGTCATGCAGTCAGAAAAGGCTCTGGCTGTTGTTTATGGAAACATCTACCTCCGTCAGTGTGCTCTGCCTGGCGCTAAAAAGTGATCACGGCTCTGTGCAATGCACCAGTCGTCCCCAATCGAACATCACACCCTGGCGCACGTGTCTTCCAACGTGACCAGAGGTTTTCGAGCTCGAGGGATAAGTTGGCTTACCTGTTACGGAAACCGTTACAACGGGCTAATTCGACAGTGCACTGCATGGACAGTCTCTTTCTCAGCAAGCCGTGAAGAAAAAAGGACAGGTCCACTTTGAAGCCCAGTTCTGGCAAGAAGTCCGCCAGCTGTTGCACGGCATGCGTCATCGCCTCTCACCAATCGGTATGTAGTGGCCGTGCCAGAAGGTTCAGGGAACGCTACCAGCAGGTCCACGCCGCATGCAGCTTTCCTCAGCTCCGCACGATTTTGGGTGTCACTGCCTTGAGCAGCAAAGACCTGAGCAACTCAGAGCGTGGCACTTTAAAAGAACCCGAAATTCTTTTATGTAAATATATGTAAGTTGTTCTGCTGCCTACACTTACACAGCTTCCACTGGACAAGAGCCACATAAGTCTTCCAGACGTACCCTGAAGAATTGGAGGGGTGGGCTAGCTTTCATTCAACCTGCTCCCCTTGCCCTCCGTCTGCCGGGCGCCCGTGCGGCTGGACCAAGTCAGATAAAGCACCTTCAGAAAGCAAAGGGCTGCCCAGCCTTGCGGCGCGTGTGCAGCTGAAGTTGATTGCCGGTTTGCCACGATATCCAGGTAAGAGCGACTGTCATAGCGCTCAACATCTCCCAGCAGTCTGCCTTTGTGCAAGCTCAACGACGGGAAGAAACCGTGCCTTTCATATCGACTCTGAAAGCTGGCATAGCTCATGTAGTAGGTGAGCTCCTTTTCTGAAGCGGCGGCTGCATGCGCAAACAAGCACAAGGCAGCACCTTGACATGATGGTCCTCTTCATCAATGGCCACAAGCACATCTAGGTCAGATGATTCCTGCACACGCGGCCCTCCGAAGGTACAGGCCAGAATCCCATAGAATGGTCTTCAGCCCCAGATTCCGGCTTGCGATTGCTGCTGGCACTACAGAATCCTCACCACTTTTTCGTCGGACCCAGCAGACCTCGCCGAATCCGTTTACCGTGGAGCCGAAGGGATGCGCTGTGGCCGTCGGCGCCTCAGGACAAGACAAGTTGTGTGTCCGCCAAGACTCTCGCATGTGGCCACTTGCCTGTCTGGGGCCCGGACGACACATTGTTGGGCACCGGCCTGGATGCGCATCACGACATCCTGCACCACCTCGTTGGCCTGAGAAGTTTGGGCGGCAGCTGGCTGCGCAGATTCAAAGACCTGGGGCCCGTATCCTGTTGAGGAACACTGCCGAACTTTTCTTCAATGTCCTTCGCCAGGTCTTGATGTAGCTTGACCTGGTCCCAGGCAGCCGAGGTCAGCCGAAATGCAATGCGGCCCGGCCAGTCCTGCTCTAGCCATGTGTCGAGCGGAAGGCGCGGGGCGCCCGTTGCGATAGCCTCGCTGCAGCCGCGCATGACTAGTCACTAGTCTTCTCTCACACACACACACACAGGGGCACACAACACACGAATGCTTGAAAATGCTTTACATGCTTTCCGTTGTTGCCTCCACAAGGAGGGAGTAGGGAGACACAAGCTCTCAAAAACAAACCAACATCCGCAGGCGTACTTGTTTTTAACACACTGCATTCCTCGCATACCCTGCCGCCTCTTCGTCCGCTTTGTCTGACTCGCCACTGTTTGACGGACTGCATCTTGCAGCGCAGCGCGAACGCCTGCGTACCAGTCGGCGCAGTAGGCCGCGGCCGGAACCGCAATTCAGGGCACCTCCGCTTCTGATGACGAGAACGAAGCGTAGTCCTCTCAAGTGCACCCGAGTCTCACATGCACTCGGCATAAACTTGTATGGGATGCTTTTCTTGGGTGGCGCAGACTCGCCACACTGCCTCCAGATTGCCACTGCCGCAGGGACCAGGCTGCGGCCTAGTACATCAAGGCAGGGGTTTCAGGCGACAAGCAGACAAGACAATACTTTGTGTGGCGAAGCAGGACACAGCAGGACCAAGAAACACAACCCAGGGACATGTCATTGTCATGTCTCTCGCCTTCAGCACACGTTGAGACCTAGCCTGTTATTTTCTCGGACTAGCTTATGCGCGTATGGGCATGCCTTGCGCCAATGGGCGGCGGCTGCGGCCGTGCCACCCATCTCCGGCCCTGTCGCTCAAGTTCACAACAGCCTGAAGCTGCAGGCAGCAAGAGAGCAGCCTGTGTTGGAGGAGAGCCCTCGGCTTTCTCGCAGGCACCGGACGCGGCCTCGAGCGGACTGCTCTCAGACTCGGACCCGCGTGCACGGGTGCAAGGGGGGCCCCGCGACCCCCGCTCCGTCCTTGGAGTCAGCTCGTCGCACAGAAGCTGGTGCTGTAGGGTTGGAGACAACGCCATCTCCACCGATCATGGGGATCTCATGCGACTGTCTTTCATGTTCTTGTAAAGGCCGCCGTACTACAGCAGCAAGAGGTGCTATTATCTGGTGGAAAATCATCTTTCCCCATGTCTTACTCTCTGTCCCATTCAACTGATGTCTCCGTTTTCAACAGACTGGCGAGTCCAGATGTGGGTTTCTTGCAGCTTCTTGTGCGGAGTCATGGCAACGAGCATGAGTTTCGGAGCTGAAGAGCATGACGGCAGGTCGGCACGGAAGCGATCTCCACAAGCCTGCTGGCTGGTCAGAGTTCAACAGGCTCGCGGCAAGGAGACCGTGCAGCTCGTTATGGCAGAAACATATCCGATTTGTCCATTCTCGTTCTCTCCGTCAAACGGCCGATCGTTGCACTTGTGGGAAACTGCAGACGCTACTTCTGCACTCTTTTTATCCCTTTGCAAGTTAGCGCGATTGCGCCACATGCCGTTTGTGGACAGCGCTGGCTTGAGTGCAGCGTGATTCTAATCACGCCGACTACTGAGCGTCACATTATCAGCATGCGAGACGAGCGTCGCAAGATAAGCTTTCATGGTCAGCTCGTTCGCACGGGGCGATCATTGTCATCACCATATCCCTCTGCAAAGATAAAGTTCTTTAGCTCGAGAAGCTGGTGGGCCCGCGGAACTGAGCGCATGCACTGCAGTGATGCGCTCAAGTCACACAGGCCTGGGCCGTGGCCTACCCTGGCGTCAAAAAATGGTGATCAGCGTGAAGAATGTGTACACCTTAGCTGCTTAGCTACGACCTTAGCGACATCCCTGGCGTGCGCGAGGAGAACTTGGACAGAGCTCTGGGTGCTTGTGAACTGAGAGCCATGCCAAACCAACAGGATAAGCGACCAGCCACCTGGTTGCGTCGCGTTTCTCGGCTACGAAAACTAAAGTCGACTTGCCAAAGTTTCCAGGGCCACCCAGCCTCTGGTCCTGCATATGTATCGCAATCGCGAAGAATCTCGAGGACGACGCAGTTGCCCATGCTGACAGACATGTGCATTCTCGAATTAGCCATGAGCACAAACCTTCCCGCCAACAGCGCAACTCTTGCTTTCTGTTGTTGTTTCGGCCACAAATACACCCTGGATCTTTTGCTCCTTGAACCGCGCGTATCAGACCCCCGTGGCAAAACGCTGCCCCGTAGGATCCCCGAAGTGCTGTGCTCGTTTGAATCGTTTGGTCTCTTGGTCGGTTTGTTGAGGCTTCCTAGGTCCTTGGCCGAAAGATCCCCAAGGGCCCTACCGATGCAGCAGTACTTGCCCCGGAAAGCCTCATTTTGTGTTGCTGCGTGAGCTGGAGGGGGGGTCGTGAAAGCTTGGGTTTCCGTATGCAGTCCGAGGCCCTAGGCCACGCTAGGCCAGGCCTATGCAGACTGCGGCCATGATGGAACCAAAGGTGGACCTCATCTCTCTAGGCTCGCCTGAAAGGGAAAGCCTTACAGTACTCGGGCCGGTGCTTCAGGGAAACCAGAATTCCGAAGAGCGCGAGGAAAACAATCGGTATTAGCCTTGGCTCTTGACTAAGGACTGCACACAGCAAGCCTGACTCAAAACTATCCAGCCGGGCCACCCATATCCAAGGATGCTAATTGTTCTGTAAAGGTCGATGCCTGCAGCGTCCATGATGACAATGTCAGGAACTTCATGCTGTGAGGTTGGATCTCCAACATGAGGTGAAGACATCGTCAGACTGCATCTCCCACGAAAATCACTTCCGTTGAAGTGTCTCCCGCCCCTGACCCTGTGGAAGGATAAGTACTTGCCCGGACTGTACCACGAATCTGAGATGACCCGGAACCTGCACGAAGGAAGCAGTAATCTGGCCTTCCTTCTGGCTCATCACATTTATGAGGCAGCAAATGCCGAAGGAGCCACCAGCAATCAAACCGTAGACATACCTGTCGCGAAGATCAGTTGTGGCATGCCGTGGAGACACGAACACAGGTTAGGCTGCAGAGGTCTTGCATGCTGGCAGGGAAACTCGGAAGCACACCCGAACTGAAGCTTGCCCACAAGCAGGAGTGCCATGCCTCGTACAGAGCCGCCGCGCTCTTGCTACAGCATGTACTGACGCAGTCCTCTTTTCATGCATCTCCCTGCCACAGCTGTGCATCTCCGTGCCATTATCTCAGCCGTCGGCCCAATGTTAGGCAAATGAGCAAGGGGCCGCTCAGGTCAGCATCCTTGAGAATTTCCTGACATTTGCAGGGCACTCCGTGGTCAATCGACCAATAATCGACTGACCATCAAGTATGACTCTCTGACGTTTGCTCGTTTGCTGTTTGCCTAAGTAAGTCCCAAGTGTTGATTCTGCTTCGGCACTCAAGCAGCCATGTGCCTCGTCCAGCTTTTTGAAGAACGCTACCCCCTGCATTCTAAGGAGGATATGCTCAACGTTGATGCCGAGCTCCTCCAGCTTTGGACTGGAAAGGGCAGGAATTGGGTCAGTGATGTGCGCGCAAAGGTAGCCTCGAGGAGGGGCGGCTCGTTTTCGATGTCGTCGTCGTAGTTGTTTACCGCTGGTGGCCTCAGACATGCGTAGGGCATAGGGTGCGGCCCAGCCCTTGTCAATCGTCTCTTCCCAATGTGTGCACATGACACACGCTGTAGCTGCTGGCTGCCAGGCTGCGGAAAGTTTCCAGGCGCCATCTGGCCTCCTATCTGTCCTCCTATCTGGCCAGCCATCTGGCCGGGAGCCATCTGGCCTGGACCCAACTGGCCCGGACCCATCGCACCAGGGCCCATCGGGCCAGGGCCCATCTGGCCCGGGCCCATCTGGCCACTCATCTCTCCCATCTGCCCACCAACAGGTGCTCGCACAGCTTGGCCTGTGCAAAGGCAGACCGAACGCTGAGCTGCAAAGTGGGCAAAACTCAGAACTCGATGCCTGGAGCTGGCCCCGGCCCCTGTGGGGGAGCGCCCATGCCAGGCCCCTGTCAAGTTCGTCGGCCCCGAATTGCTTCGGATAAATGAGAACTCCCTGGCTCTGGCCTGAGGTTGCGCCGCGCCTGCGGAAAGGTGAACAGATGGCCCGAAAGCTTGAGCGGTTGCGCAAGGCTGTCTCCCGAAACAAACACTGCTAAAGCAGAATATGTCGTTCTACCTCGGTACAACAGCCATTTTGCCCTAAAAAGCACCCCTGCCATCGCGCGGGTCGTTTCATAGGGTGTTACCTTGTTCAAGTCTGGATCCTTGGAGCTTCCCCAACACTTCCGGCAGTCAGGATCACTGTCGCCACACATGTCTGAAACGTTATGCCTTAATTGACCTAGCAAGCTGTTGCTTCAGCGCAGTCCAGCCTGGCGTAAAGAACTGCAAACCAGCTCCAGCCGCTGGCGCCTGCGGTGGGCACGTACTCTCTCTCGCCCTGCACCCGCCTTGCACCCTCCAGCGTATTGTCAAGACGGCCTGGCAATGCCTGGCATCTTTTGCCGCCCGACAACCCTCGAGGCTCCATCAGGTTCGGGGTTCCATCAGGTATTGCACATGAAGCCCCTTCGGGGCTGTAGGTTCTAAAAAGGATGGAACGCACGCACAACACACATTAACGGCACGTCCAGGATGGTGGAAAACAGATCGTGCTCTGCATCCTGGCCACGAGTCCGACGAAACCGACGCGAAGCGGAATTGCGGCCACTCCCAGTTGCTCCAGGAGACGGTTTAGAGCAACTGCTTGAGGCTGCTTCTGTCACTCCGGCGGTATTTCCTGAGCATGCACAGGTCCAACGCTCTGCTTCGATGTTCAATGGCTGGGAGTCCGGCTATGCCGAGTTTGCCGAAGTCCTCCGGAAACATCAAGAACTCCTGAAATGAAGGGCCAGCGGTGTCACACACAACGATGAACGGAGGTTTCGTAGTTCGTGGCCTCGCGTGTGGGTCGAAGAAGGAAGGAGGCAGCCTGAAGTGCCGCAGCTCCGTGGCTTTGCGAGCATCGCACGGCAGAACCCCGCAATCGTAGGACACGCCTCGTCGGCGACCGTCTTCTTCACCACCGGGGTCGCTCTCCGTGACTTAAACGCGGTTCTGAGCATGGTGGAGCTGAAAGACGATCCCTGCCGTGCCAGCACTTAGCACATACCGCTAGAATCCGCTAGACGAGCACTCGACAGCAAACAAGTACAGCTTCCAGTACAAATTATTGGTACGGATGGTCAAGTATGCTCTCACAAGTTGCTTCAGCCCAAGCCTCTCCCAAGATGCCCTCTGCCACGTAGACAGACTTCTCTGGCACTTCCGCTTCCGCAGCATCACCAGCCCGGGGGACCACGACCACACCCAGTCCCCTGCATGGACGGGTCGGTTGGGTCGCTTGTGCTCTGCAACTCAGCACCCATTCATACCAGCACGACATAACCAAGCCTCTCCGGCAGAAGGCCCTTGTAGAGGCCATTGCTCTTAGCATGATCCGTTCCACATGCATAGAAGACCTGGCACAGGGAGAGAAGCTGATGTGACAGTGTGGCCTGAGGCACCTCTACGCGACAACACGCTTCAACGCGGCGGATGCTTGCTGGCCTTGAAACTCTGGTCCAGCTTCCATGCCTCCCGCGCGTGGGTCGGGAAAGAGTAGTGTAGATTTGTTGTCCCCCTCCAACACCCCTGTGCCCATCCCTCCGTTCCGCATTTCTTTGTTCAAAAAGCGATTGCAAAGCTTGCCCCGACACTGACGCAGCAGTTACTTTTTGGCCTCGCTCATGGCCGTTTAAGGGCAGAACAACACCATCTGGAAGTAAAGAAGCTGCCTGCACAAGCACATCTCGAAGTTAAATGCAGCAACGCTGCAATGTCCCAAAAAACAATCTTGGGAGAGTACTCAACCCGCGAAAACCCAAAACAGCCGGATGGGTTTTCCGGAGCGCACGGCACTTCCGCTTTCCGGGATTTTCTTTTTGTTGGTGACAGTGCCGGCAATTCTGGCAGCATAGGGGTGTTGTAGACATGGTTCTTGATGGTTCTTGGGTATGCAGGTATGCAAGGCTGCGCATGGTGGACAGTGGACACTCTTTCGCTTTGTGCGGTCTATGCTGGCAGAAGGCATAACATCGTCTTCAAGCTTGTTTCGAGAGTGCAAAACATGTTTGCATTCTGATTGACTTGATTTGACAAACAGCGTTGCTGCTTCCTAAGGATTTCGCAAGGGTCAGAATGACTTTGTTTTGTTCCGCCGCTCTTTTTCACTACCTGCTGCCTACCCTGGAAGATATGTTGCTGTCCGACACCCGGCGTCCCAGTTCCCACCCCCCGCGCCGGCCATTTTAGACCCAACGAAATACACCGGCCAAGGAGCGTCCTGGGCAGGGACGGAGCGAACAACAGCCCGGCAGGGGAAGTTCACCCGCCGGCCTTTCAAGACCCGATGCAGTACATCCGCCGAGGGCGGCCCAAGCCCCGCGCAGCGAAAACAAACGCCACTTCCCCTTCCCCGTCTTCACGGAGAACACCTTACCAGAACTCACCATTACCGAGTTAATTACAAAGAGCAATCCGAAATCACAAGACTCCGAAACATGCACCAATCTGCAGAAACAGCCCGCGTTGCTCCCATGCATGAATCACGACTGTGACGTGCCGCTCTCTCAGCACACGGAATCGTGCCCATACGAGGGAGGAAGCAACCAAACAGATTTCAACACACATATGTATATGTGCATGTAACTGTATGTGTGTGTATATATATACACATATATCTATATATACATATGTATGTATATATATATATGTATAGATATATGTGTACATATATATACACACATGAGTATGTACACGTGCATGCATGACACATGCATACATGCATACATGCGCACATGTACGCACACACATGCATACCTACCAGTACCTACCTATCTACCTCCCTGCCTGCCTGCCTGCATGCATGCATTGAATACTTACATAAATAAACTACATAACATACATCATACATCTCAGACCGTACACAAAGACAAATACAGTACACACTGTGCATACATTTACATACATTTGCATACATTCGAATACTCTACATGCGTTTCATGTACTACATCCGTCACATGCAATACCTGAGATGTATGCATTTTATATGCATTGCAGTACAGACATGACATACATTACACGCTTCATAGACATTAGGCACATGTTATATATTTCATAAATTACAAACACTACACAAACAGGGTACACTATGCACGTTACGTACATTATTGCATGCATTAGATGCTCACACACGTTGCACAAATGACACACATTGCAAAGTTACACACATGAAATGTACACAAGTTACACTACACACTTTGCACACATACATATCTACCTGTCTGCCTGCCTGCCTGCCTACCTACATACGTAAGTACGCTTATACGGTACATTACATCACATCACATTGCATCAGGGACGGCTGCCGAGTAGTGTGCTTGCATTGCACGGCACTGCAGAGCGGACTACCTCATCATTACACATTACATGCGTACATTGACATGCATATCATGTGTATACACGTGTTTACAGCGTTCATGGCAGGGAACAAAGCGGCTTGGCCTTTTCCGTGCTTTCCAGTTTTCTCTGCAATGCCACAGCGACCTGCATGTGGTGCAAAGCCGGAGTACTGACAGAACTGCGAGTAGCGATCGAGCATCCAACATGTTTGCATAAACGGAATGATGCACAAGGCTCCGGAATTTCCACAGCCTCCGGAAAGTCTGGCCAGCGTCCCGGCTTCTGTGCCTGCAACAACTTCTCCAGTGGGAGGCAACCTCTACACCAACCTGCAAGACCTGAAACTGTAGCCCGAACACCTCCCAGCTAGCAACGTCCAGGAGATCGTCACTTCCTCGGCTGGCAGACGCCTATCTGGAAGGCAAGCTGACAACAACACAGGCGAGAAGGAATCAATGCAAGCTGATCTCGCACGGCTCTTCTCGCAGCCTCCAAGCGGAACGGTGACGAGAGGCCTCAGGGACACGACTCACCAGACGCTCAAACTCCAGGGCTGTGAGATGCTGAGCCGGAGATGGCAGCTGAGTCCGTGGCCTATCGTTCCCAGCTTCCGAGCCTCCACAGCTCGCAACAGACTTTGACACGCGACACCACGCCCCGGCTTCCCGGCCTTGGGTTGCACATAGCCATCGTGAGATGGTGAGATCCAGGCCCCGGCCACTTCGAAGCCTTCCAGGGCCAGGGAGAAGCATTTCACACTCTCCACTGTACCTTCGAGATTCAAAACGCCCTATCACCTCGAAGTACCTCAAGCATCCCGGCCACATGCCTCGCTTCAAAGGCCTGCGCCTACAACTTGCGCGCATCCCTTTCAACTGGCCTGCTCTCCTCAGCCGCTCAGCAGCCTGTCTCATATCATTCATTACACTGTTGGCGAAATTCGTGGTGTTTGCCGAAACCACGGCTCCAGGTTGAAGCAGCAGAGAAGCACATGTGTACACACGCTTAGTCAGACAGTTTGGAAGTCGGGATTCGCAATCACGGATAAGAATCTTGGCTCCTGCTTGTGGTGTAGAGTTACTTGTAGGGTTTGTAGGGTTTGAGGACAGACTCTAAGCCCTAAGCCAGTTTGACCCAAGGACTTTGGCAGGGTATCGGGAAATTCTGATTGCGGAGTAGATTCGCCAGGTCAGTGAACAGCGAATTAGTGTCATTGCAAGAACTATTCATGCTGTGACTACAGTACACCATTTTCAAAACAATTGCCTCAACGCACAATGCCCCTCGCAGGATCTTCGGAGAGAGAACTATGGCAACCTGCAGGACATTGTAGGAGTACAAGCTATCATTGCAAGCTTCAGCAGCATTGCTTGATCGCCCACATCAGCTCGCAGCTCACCCTGAAGTTTGTTTGCCTTCCGCCTGCTTGACCATGTCAAAGAAAAAAGCCATCCGCCAAAGATGCCCCACAACCAGCCACATTCTGATCTGCCTGTTGACCCTGCATCCCGAGCAAAACACTCACGCCTTTTGCACCAGCTCCGTGTGCCCCAGATGCGGAGGATTCATGGCACCGGTCGTCCTCATTTCGACTCTTGTTTGACGTCTCGCTGCCGTTCTCACTCACTGAGGCGTGGACAGCAGGACTGCCAATTTTCCTGAAAAGCAGACAGATGCGATGGAGCGACCGTTTTCTCAGGTCTCAGCTAGCGCATTGCTGGGCTGATGCGCTTCTCGCTTTCTCTCGAACCCTCAAAGAGACTGTGTTCTGCCCAGTTGCGACTGGCAGATGTGCTGCCGCCTAGCGCGACCCCTCGCGCCACAGCCTTTCTCACTCACGCAGAAAACGACACGCCTTCCCCACCTCTGGTGTACTGCGGTATGTTATACTGCTAGTTAGTTATGCAAGAAACAATTGAGATTGGATCGTGCTTGTCCCCAACTTGAGGGCCTGCTACATCCTTGACGCTCGTACAGCAGACTCCGACCAACCTGCCTAAAATGCAAGGTTTCTCTCATGGTTCAAAGCGCGCCTCGAGCCGGGCCTTCAACTTCTCGAGCGGCCACAAGCCCTGCAAGCGGTCAACATCCCATCCTGAACTCTGGGCAGAAGGGTTGTGCCGCCCTGCCTCCCTTCTGTCGTATTCCTCCTCAGAATCTTCGTCTTCCTCCGAGCCCTCCTCCTTGGCAACGGCCGAGTCCTGACCAATTACATACTTGCCGCGGCATCACCAAAACTGCGACAGCGCACTTGGTGGATCTGGGGTCTGGGTTATATCGTCGTAGCAGATGAAGTCATTGCAGTGGTGGCAGAGGCAGCAGAAAAAACGGTGGCAGTAACTGACGGCGGCAGCATTAGCCGTCGTCGTGGTCAAGCGGCGGGAACTGCTGTCGTGGTGACGACGCTTCCGCTTTTACATGGCGACCCTGCTCAACATAACATGCCGGCATGGTGCGCTTTGTCGTCATTGCTAGTTGTTGCGATTGTTGTCGCACCTGGAGGAGGCGGAGGAGGAGGAGGAGGAGGAGGAGGAGCAGTGGCAGCAGCAGCCAGCACCAGAAGCACGAGGACCAGCAGCCGCAGTTATGATGGTGACAGAGGTATCGCTGGAAGCAGACACCAGCAGAGTGGCAGTTGCACTCTTCGTGATATTGGTCGCGGTAGTGGCAGTGGTAGTAGTACTCGCAACACTAACGGCAACACCGGGGGGCAGCAGCAGCAGCAATAGAAGAAGAAGTAGTGACAGCAGGCGTGTGGTATATAGGCGTTGTAGTACACTCCCGGGCAATAATGTTACGCGGAGTAGCACCGGGATGTTTGAAAACCATGAACTTCCTACGCATGAAGGTTTTGAGCTACCGGGCATTTAAATCTGCTACAAACTGTTGCAGAGTAGCGGTGTGCTTGAAAGTGATGAATTCCCTACGCCGGCGAGCGAGGAAGGGTTGCTACGCCTGTGCTCCCAAAACGGATTCCTGCGCTGGGCGATGAGATCACGGCCCTTGAGACTATCGGGGCGGTGAAGAGAAGAAGGGGCCAAGATGCGGCTGAGTACCTTCGGCGCCCCGGTGTCACTGTGGTGCCGGGCAAAGCAGGATTTACAGTGAAACCTCCTTCGAACGAGGCTGCCAAGTTCAGACGAAAAGCGCGGATAGTAGGCTGTGGCAACTTCCAGCCGAAAGGGGCAGCGAGGGCAACTACAGTGGAGGCGCAGCGGCTGAGTCCGTCAGACTTGGAGTGGCAGAGTCGTCGAGGAGGGTTGGTGGTTGTGCAATGGCGACATAGCCAACGCCTGGAACTTTGTTGGCGCTGAGACCACCGGCTGTGTTATGTAATCCGTGCTGGGCTTGCTGAAGGGGAGATCTGCAAAGTGTGTACTGCTTCGTATGGGCTTCGGTCCTCCCCGAGATGCTGGTCGGCTGCGACGAGGAGCGGCTACCGCTGTCCAAGGAACAGCAGATGGAGACACGTGGCGAACAGTGGATCAGGAGGGGACCACTCGAGCAGTGGTCATTGTCTACGTTGATGACTACCTGATTGGTGGTGAACGCCAAGTTTGCGAAGAAACCCATCCATGGTTTTCACGTGGAAAACCGGGACAATCCACGTGGACAATGTTGTAGCGATTTCTCTTGCTAGAAGGGGGAAGCTGGAAGACAAGGCACCTCAAAGGCCGCCACCGAGCCCTGCGAGGAGTGGAACAAAGATGGGAAGAGGTGGTGTACTGTCCAGGAGACCAGCAACTCGCAGATGGGCTCATCAAGGTACTCCCTTCCAAGAAGATAAATAATCTGATGGTTTTTGGGGGGGCTCTTTGGGAAGTCGAGAAGGAGATGGACTTCTAAGACAACTTTGTGCTGAAGACCCCCTCCAGACTCGCACCAGCATCTACAGCTGCAGCAGCCAGGCACAACATACAACTCAACAGATCACCCAGCATACCTGGGTTGCTGTTGGGGTCTATTGGGTTGACTACCTGACCTAACTTAATAGCTATAGTACTTCAACTGTCGTAGTTCAACACACTCCCCGGAACCCACTCCGCTTGCGGTAGAAAGAAGCCAGCACTCTAAGCGCGAAGCTAGGAGCTGCAGTAAGCCATGCACTTTTCGGTAGATGTGCACAGAAGCTCTACCTCCTGCAGACGTGGTTTGTGTGTGCGAACAAGACTTCTAGTTCCATCTGCAGTGCTGCATGCTCGTTTGACAGCCGAGCCCGCAGTGTTGGAACCACGCTAAGAAGAGGAAGAAGAAGACGAACGGCCCAAGGGGCCAGTGATACAGGGGGTCATATACCTCAACGCAGTGGCAGTAGCCGCAGCAGTAGCTGTTGCAGTAGTCGGGGGGAGGGAAGAGGGAGGGCTCGGTTGGCTGAGGCCTGAGCTTGGGGTTGGGCCTGGGCATCTTGCATCCTGCCATCTGTTGTCATTGTTGTTGTTGTTGTGCTACTGTAGTGGTAGTGGTACTTGTAGTAGATGATAGTGGCAGGAGTAGGCGTAGGAGGAGCTAAGCAGCAGAAGCAGCAGCAGTAGCGGCAGTAGCCATGATGTGGCAGAAGAAATGGGCACTGGTATTGGCTGTGAGGTGATGGGAAAAAGTAGCAAAATCACGAGTATCAGTTGTACAAGTCCAAACACGACGACACTATTAGTACATTCGAGTACGACTGTGGTCTCGCTGCGACTCTTGCATCCTGCGGCGCGAATGAGACGCATACCCTTCATCGGCCTGTGGATCGTCCATCGGCTCAGGGGCAACGATGCCCTCCACGGACGAAGTGCCAATGTCCTGAAGAAGGTGTTTGCATCAGTAAGTCAATACTAGCATGGTGGACCTCTGCTTCTGTCGCGTGCCTCTTTTGTGTGTTACTGGTAGCATCTTGTTCTGAAGTCTTCTCGTTCAATTTGGCCCGGGACTGACTCTTCCCTTTTGCCGTTATTGGCGAACGAAGGGAAAAATGGAAGACTCTCACTCGCCCTGGATGTTTTGTGTTCCCGGAGGCATGCGCCCGGAACAATGCCCCAGCAGAACCACTTCTGTGGTGTTGTCGGATGTGCTTCAACCGGAATGCACTCAACACGGCGTGCACCGCACTCCACACACATGAAGCTGCAAAGCAAGCTTGGTGCATTCAGAGAGCTGACACTTGTCCAAACAGAGTTCAAGCAAACTTTGATGATGTTCTTGGCCAACTGCTCGTTGTTTGAACAGCAACATCGAAGTCTCCCGTGATCTGATTCCATTCTGATGGTGCAACACAACATGTCGTGTTTGTTGTGGCTTCAAGTGGCTCCACACGACGACGAGAGCACGCTCTACCTTCCTCTCTCCTGCATAAGCCCCTGCGAGAAACGATGCTGTAATCTGCGAATTCTACTAGGAACAACGGCAAAAATGTGCCCCCTCCCCTGCATGTTGCGAATACCTCCCTCAATATTATGCATCGGCTTGACTCGACACCCGGCACTGCATTCGGCGGAAAGCGTTTGAGATTGCAGCCTCTTCGCACCTATGCCACGCTCTTTCATGCCGGCCGAAACGCTTAGAACATCTCTGAAACACCGGCAACACTCAAGAAACTTCTAGAGACAACTGCCGTCTTTTTTGCAGATTCCTACTAACTTTAACTATTGTTGAAGGCAAGGTCCTCGTGAGTATCCCAGCATACGATCACATCGTAACACGATGCACTCATGGCTGCGCTGTAGCACGTGCCATTTAGTCGCCTGTTGGGTTCCAGTATGTTTCCGTTCTACATGCAACTGCTCCATGCAAGACACAGGGTCAGGCCATGCGTGATCCTTTGAGGGCACTTGATGGGTGCACAATGCGGGCGACTGTCGAAGCCGATGCCTGGGAGAACGACCTAAAACTTGGAACTTCGAAGCCGCAAATGCTGAGTGCAAACACTAACGAAAACAACAGTAGTGGAGGCTTGCAGGTGCCGATCAGAAAAGGCCAACTTTGCCGCTTTGCGCCCAGAGCGCCTGCACCTGGTCGCGATCGTCGCCGGCATGTGTTTTGTGCCGGAAGATGTGAAACTGGTCATGGCAGCTTAGCTGGCCAAGCAAAAATTTGCTGGCTCCTCGTCAGCAAGGCACATTAGCACGATCACCTATGGGGTGCGGAAGCGGAAAGGGCAGAGCCCGGTTAGCGGGGGATGTCAACTACGTATTTTAAATCTGCACACAGGTTCAGTCAGTGGCAATCAGCCTGAGGTAAGTTCATCTCCACGTTGTCGGTTTTTGAGTATTCTGTCACAAACATGCTTCTGAACCTGAGCGTTCTGTGTACACGCCAGCCGCCTCCGATTTGATGGAGACAGCTGCATCCGAAATCTCATGTCATCTCCGAAGGGGTTTGAGAGCCACTGTGAGGATCGTGATGTGGGTCATCAGGCGACGTCTTCTGGCACATGCCTTGGAACACACGTCTCTCTGACCCGTCTGGACGCACACATAGGTGGTCACAGAGTCATGGCAGGCCTGAGGTCGCAACTGTCAGGAGTGAGAGCAGACGGACCCAAGTAAGGTGCCCCAGAAAGCTCATACAGCTCATCCATCATAGCTTGCATAGTCACCTGCAGAACCATGCAAAACCCACGTGTTCTCGAGCCATTCACAGATTGCCAGCGCAATTTCAGCCGTGCTTCAGAGCACGTCAAATCTGCACCTATCGGTAGGCTTCATGCACTACGAATACCGTAGTCCAGCTTGTCTACTAAACTCGCAAGCTCCTCGGCGTTGCACAGGATGTCGTATCGTAACTTCAATACAGCATGACAATGAGCTCTTGCACTCGTAAGACTCCGCAACAGCATCCAGCAAGCAGGCACAGCAACAAGAAGTCAGACCCCGTCGCATTAATTCAAGACTTCCGGTGCAGCTGCAGGCTGCAAGGACTTCACCACATGCCATCCGATCTCCGTCGAGCTGAGGTACCGACAAATGATGCCCTCACCTGCTGCAGAGCGTCGCAAGACGATCAGTGCTTCAGTGTTAGAACCCCCCACGCCCAAGTCGTTGTACCAGGCCCCCCTTCGAATATATATATATATATATACACATACCTTTACATACATATAAATAAATAAATCTGTATATATATATATATNNCCCCCCCCCCCCCCCCCCGAATGTACATTGACGGGGCCCGGTGAATGTACAAAATTAGGGGGTTTTGGGGGGAGTTCGATCTGCGCTCTTCACAGCATGGAACTCAACATGGACTGCTTACTGCCTGCTCAAAAAATTGCTCAAACCCAGAACACCCCTGAAC